TTTTTTTTTTTAATAGACAGAATTTCACTTTATCACCCTTGGTAGAGTGCTGTGATGTCACAGCTCACAACAACCTCCAACTCCTGGGCTTAGGCGATTCTCTTGCCTCAACCTCCTAAGTAGCTGGGACCACAGGCGCCTACCATAATGCCCAGCTATTTTTTGTTGTTGTTGTTGCGGTTTGGCTGGGGCTGGGTTTGAACCTGCCACCCTTAGTAAGTATATGGGGCCAGTGCCCTACCCACTGAGCCAAAGGAGCTGCCCCAAATGACATACATTTATAAAAAATAACTGTATTTTCCAAACAAAAACCCTCAGAAGAGTAGCCCTGTTTCTCATTAGTGCAGACCCCATTACAGTCTGGCTCAACTGGCAGATGGCTCTAGCAGTACTGGGGTTTGATCAGCCTGTCACACAGACACGTAACTGGAAGAGGGAAGAGCATTTAGGTAGTCTTTTTAGATAATTGTGGTTATTCTTCTTTGATATCATACCAAAACTGAACCAGTGGCAGTTACAATGTGGAATCTGTACTCTTATCCATGAACTTTATATACTCTATTATGTTAAAATCCATTTATCTTGCACTTCAAATGTATTTTTTACCCATATGTTGTTTGGCAACATCATGTATTACTCATCTGAAAACACTAGTTCATAGATTATGCAGATCTTCCAAGTGTTGGCACTTTTCATTCTATATGCAGAAAAGATTTGTAAATAGCACTACTAACCTCACTGGAAAATTCTTTTAAGTAACAAGAGCTGTCAATATGATTGCTACAAGTTTTCAAAAGTTTTAACTTTTGCTTAAGAACTTCAATTTTACCATTGGCAACAGACATTTCAGATGTTTTTCTTTAAGTGGCAAGCTCATTGTAAAGAAATATCTGCCAGACAGCCAGGACTGAGAACCACAGTGTGTCTGCCACTTGTCACATCAAGTGAAAATGTTGTCCATGGCTCAGTGAGTAGGGTGGTAGCTACATACACCAAGGCTGGTGGGTTCAAGCCTGGCCAGGGCCTGCTGGACAATGACAACTGCAACCCTCCCCCCCACAAAAAATTGCCAGGCGTAGTGGCAGGTGCCTGTAGTCCCACCTACTTAGGAGGCGGAGGCAAGAGAGCAGCTTAAGCCCAAGAGTTTGAGGTTGCTGTGAGCTGTGACACCATAGCACTCTACTGAGGGCAACATAGTGAGACTCTGTCCAAAAAATAAATAAGTAAAAAATATGATGTCCGTGAAGAAAGTGGCTACATCAGCTCTCAGGTCCAAGTGTCACAGCACTTTCCCCCAGAAGCTATCATACTGCATGAGGCTTTAACATACAGCACATGAAAACACCTGTGCTCAAGGTCAAATATCAAGAAAATGCTAAGGACCCAGGGTTCCCCGTCATAACACCCTGGCCTTGTACCCAGAGGCCCACATTTGAGCTCCACAGTCCTAGGGAAATGGCATTGTATATCTATAAAGAAATTTTATTTGCAAAATTAGAGATATGCTCAAGCAATTTTATCTTCCTAAGTTTATGTGTAATGAAATTACACGACAATTTCAGACCACCATTCTATTCATTCAATTTTGTCAATCAAAAACTGTCAAAAATTAGGTGGGATGAATTGATTTTCAAATCTGTATTACCAGTTTTAGACAGGAAAAAGTTTTTCAAATTTTAATTTTTACTTTGTACCAAAAATAGATATTTTCCGTATTCTAACTAGTTTTCTCTATTTAAATCTTCTTTTTTTGGTAGAGACAGTTTCACTTTATTGCCCATGGTAGAGTACCCTGGCACCACACAGCTCACAGCAACCTCCAACTCGTGGGCTTAGGAGATTCCCTTGCCTCAGCCTCCTGAGTAGCAGGGACAACAGGTGCCCGCCACAATGCCTGGCTATTTTTTTGTTGCAGTTTGGCTGGGGCCAGGTTTGAACCCGCCACCCTCAGCATATCGGGCCAGCACCCTGCCCACTGAGCCACAGGCACTGCCCCTATTTAAATCTTTTTTTCCAATTATATCAGATGGCTCATGTCAAAATAATTGGTCTCAAAAAATTATCACCAAAAGACTATAACATGAATTGAAATGGATAAAATGATACATTTAAGAGTGAATCAGTAAACAAAACTCTTAAATGTCCATGTTATCAGTATTCTCACTTGTCTGCTGAATAGGAACCATTTTACCTTTTATTATCCACTAAATACATTTGAGGGAAGGCACAAATACAAAAAGACAATAAACCAATTAGTTAACAGTTTCTATTTTTATTTTATTTTATTTATTTATTTCTAAGAAACAAAGCGACTCATTTTATTGCCCTCAGTAGAGTACTATAGCATCATAGCTCACAGCAACCTCCAACTCCTGGGCTAAGGCAATTCTCTTACCTCCTGAGTAGCTGGGACTGCAGGAGCCCGCCAGAACGCTCAGCTGTTTTTTTGTGGCAATTTGGCTGGGGCTAGGTTTAAACCCACCACCCTTGATATAATGGGGCCAGCGCCCTATCCACTGAGCAACAGGCACCGCCCAACAGTTTATATTTTAATTGCTAAAAATACAGTGAAACTCCATAGTTGACCACCTCCCTATACTGATGACCGCTGTAAGTTGACCTGATTCTCATAGACCAGATATGCACCATGTGCACTTGTCAGCACAGAAGGCCCAGCTCCCTGCGCTGACCACCTCTGTATGTTGACCAGATGTTACAGTGCCTCGGATAGTCAACTTACCTCTACTGTATATTGAAATTGCTTCTACATTGTACTCTTAATTTGTATGAAAAAATAACATTTTAAACGAAAATGTTTACTTTCTATAAGCATCAGAATCTGATCTCTGAGTTATTTAAGGTAAAGAAATTATAAAGGGTTTCTTACCAATGACGTGTTCTTTGTCCTTTTCAGGTGCTTTAACACAGCTTTATTAAATCCCTTCTGGGCAGCCCGAGAAAGTGCTGACAATTCCCAGTTATTCTTGGTCTCATCTACCAATAACAAACATACATCAGTTGTTTTGTTTGTTTATTTAGAGACAGTGTCTCACTTTCTAAACCGGGGTAGAGTGCCATGCACTCAGAGCACCTCAAATTCTTGGGCTCCAGTGGATCCTCCTGCCTCAGCTTCCCAGTATAGGCGCCCGCCACAATGCCCAGCTATATTTTTAGAGATGGAGGTCTCACTCTTGCTCAGGCTGGTCTTGAACTCCTGAACTCAGGCAATCTACCAGCGTTGGCCTCCCAGAGTGCTGGGATTACAGGTGTGAGTCACTGTGCTAAACCCATCAAATATCAGTTTTATTTATTTATTTTGAGATAGAGCCTCAAGCTGTTGCCCTCCGTAGAGTGGCACAGCATCATAGGTCACAGCAACCTCCAACTCCTAGGCTTAAGTGATTCTCTTGCCTTAGCCTCCCAAGTAGCTGGAACTACAGGCACCTGCTACAACGCCCAGCTGTTTTTTAGTTGTAGTTGTCATTGTTATTTGGCAGGCCAGGGCTGAATTCAAACCCGCCAGCTCTGGTGTATGTGACTGGCGCCTTAGCTGCTTAAGCTACAGGTGCCGAGCCCAAATATCACTTTTAAATAGCATTCATTATTTGATAAATATCAGGAAGAACACATTACACTGACAAATAGAAACACTGAAATCCTAATTTTAAATCATTAAGTTTCTAGAACAAAAAATATTAATAGTGGTTGTCCTGTTTTTAAACGCCATCGTCTGCCAAATGAGCAGGGCTCCCCACAGAGGTGGCTGACTTCAAGGCTTGACAGAGCCACACATACAAGAGCCCAGGGTCCTGGTGATGCAGGAGCAGCACCCACTCCTCATACTCAGACCTGAGCAATCTAAACATGAACATCAAGCATGATGGCAAAAGACCAGATCCACCGAGCAAGAAAAGAATCCTCAAGTCCCTAATAATACAGATTAATAAACAGAGGGAAAGGGAAAGTTATTTCTTACAGTAGAATGCCAACAAGGATGAAGGAAATGATGAAGGTAGAAAAATCACCATGTTGTAACTATCACAGGGGGTTACAATAATAACTGATTCAGGAGGAATATCAATGGACTCTAAAAGTACTATGGCAAAAGTTAAAAAAAAAAAAAAAAACAAGAATATTTAGTCTTAAAATATTCCCTTAGGCTAGGCGCCTGTGGCTCAAGTGGCTGAGGCACCGGCCACATACACCCAAGGTGGCAGGTTCGAATTCAGCCTGGGCCCGCCAAACAACAATGACGGCTGCAACCAAAAATTAGCTGGGCATTGTGGCGGGCGCTTGTGGTCCCAGCTACTTGGGAGGCAGAGACAGGAGACTCACTTGAGCCCAGGAGCTAGAGGTTGCTGTGAGCTGTGATGCCACCGCACTCTACTCAGGGGGACAGCTGGAGGCTCTATCTCAAAAAAAAAAAAAAATTCCCTCAGAAGTTACTTTATTTTTTTAAGCAATCATAAATTTACAGAAAACCTGGGCACTTACCAGGAGTCTTCTCCCCTGAAATACTGGAGGGAAGTCCCCAACCTGATGTCCCAGCACTCCGAGTGCTTCAGCATGCACTTCCCACAACAGAGATACTCTTCCCCCGTCACAGCCGTGCCACTGTCCACATCAGGACACCAACATGAGACAGTGCAGCCTCTGCTCCTCAGAGCCATGCAGAGCTGACTTGGACAGGTTGCATTTATTCATTCATTTATTTATTTATTTTTAGAGACAGAGTCTTACTTTGTTACCCTCAGTAGAGTGCCATGGCATCACAGCTCACAGCAACCTCCAGCTCTTGGGCCTGGGTGATTCTCTTGCCTCAGCCTCCTGTGTAGCTGGGACTACAGGCAACCTCCACAATGCCCGGCTATTTTTGTTGTTGTTACAGTTTGGCCAGGGCCAGGTTTGAACCTGCCACCCTCGGTATATGGGGCTAGTGTCCTACTCACTGAGCCACAGGCGCCACCCAACAGGTTGCGTTTAGTTGATGTCTCTTTAGCCTTTTTTAGACAAAGGCCATTTTTCAGTATTACCTTGAATTTCACAATTTGGACATTTAAAAATGTTGTATTAAACACTGTCCCTCTGTCCAGGTTTTTATAATGTTTTCTTTTTTTTGAGAAAGAGTTTCATTTTGTTGCCCTCAGTAGAGTCCCCTCATGTCATAGCTCACAGCAATTTCAAACTCTTGGGCTCAAGCGATTCACTTGCCTCAGCCTCCTGAGTACCTGGGACTCCAAGCACCCGCCACAATGGCTGGCTGTTTTTAGAAACACGGTCTTCCTCTTCCTAAGGCTGGTCTTGAACCTATGAGCTCAGGCAATCCACCCACCTCAACCTCCCAGAGTGCTAGGATTGCAGACCAGAGCCACCATGCCTAGCCCTTGTCTAATGTTTTCTTGTGATCAGACTCAGATTAGGGGAACCACCTGTAACATTTTATGATTTCCCTTATTAACTGCTGAATTATGTAAAATCTGTGATGTGGTCATTTTGCAGCTGCACAGTCATAACTTCACAGTGCTGAGATGCCCAGGCCAGAGCCAGGTGGGCTGTACTGCACTGCTCAGAGTGGTTCACCCCAGGACATCCTCTCTGGGCTGCCGAATGAGCCCTTAGGGCAGCAGGACCTTCCCTCTGCTTCTCTCAGCTCTTCCCATTTCCACGATTTTGTGGCCCATTTGGTGACCTTCTACCAGTATCCAGTATGTGTTAGAGATCTACTCTCTGATGAGCCAGAAGTGATAAGCAAATCTTGATTTTAGTCTTTTTTTCTTTCTCAGCTCAAATAAAAATTTTAAGTACCCCTGGAAAAACAGCTCTTGGATATCTGGACTCCTCAATGCTGTGCGTCTCACTCAGCTTTCGGCTCAAGTTGCAGAAATGTAGCTATAAATAGCTCTCTCTGTATCTGTGATTGGAAAATGTCTGCCTCTCACTTTGTGTGTAACGTTCTCCTATATTTGAAGTGTTGATAAATTAGATTTATAAAGTCAAGGAACTTTCTTCTGATTTACATAAATATTTAAATGAATATTCCTAAAATTCTCTGAAAATAAGGCAATTCTACTTATATTGCTTTGAATGTGTTAGACAAATCTTATAGACAGTAACTCAGCAGCATTTTCAGATTCATACTCACATAATTAAGGCACATCTTTTGGCTTGGCGCCTGTAGCTCAACCAGCTAAGGCGCCAGCCACATACACCTAAGGTGGCAGGTTCGAATCC